CGCCCCTAGAGACCTGTGTGAAAATGAGTTGCAATGCTTCATTTGTCCACGGGGAGGAGCAATGATTGTCACCAAAATACTGTAATATCTGCAGATTTGGGAAAGACGGTTTATCAGCTGGTCCATGGCTCCATGGAGCCACTATTTAGCCTAGTAGCATTTTATGACTAGGTCAAATTACAACTACTGTATGCAACCCATATTTTTTAAAATAATATTACCATGTGAAAAGCCAACAGGACGCTCTCTTTTTATCTTTCAAAACCTATACTTGTTCCTGTGTTTCCCGTTAATTAGGCTACCCCAGTGTAATTAAACTCCATCTCATTTACCGTGCTTTGTCTAACTTTGTTGCCGTGTTATCATGATTCAAACTGAGGTATTTGGAGAAGATCCAAGAAATAAATAACATTGATCCGTATGAGCTACCTGCAGCTGGAGCAGGGAGACGCATTGCCACCCTGCACCTACATGCAGTTGGTTCACTACTTAGTTTTCAGCATTAGTTACTATACAGCCTGAGATCTGACAGCCTGAAAATTTAAAAGCCTGAAATCACTGGACAGTCCCACTAAGACATGGCATAATAGTTATGTGTGTTCTATGCGTAAAAGGCAGCCGTGGACCACACTTTGCCACGATGACACACACACTCACTCACTCACTCACTCACAAGGTGAAACAACCTGATCTCACAGAAATACGTGAAATGACCACGACCTCTTAACACCGCATTCCGTGGTGGCAGCACGTAATGAGTTAAAATTACGTGCCAGTACCACGGAAACAATGCCAATGTAAAGTCAGTTAGGATCCAATGATATTTTTAACATTCCTGTATACACACAAAAACACGGAAGTGTCCTTGATAACTCAACAATATGACAGGTTAATGTCAAGGCCATAAAATAAAATAAATGTGTTTTGCCAGCAGATAGCAAAGGGCTTTAAGAGCATTGTGCTGTGGGACATCACTACATGAGGGTATACAGTATTCAGTACTTTGCCAAACAAAGTCTGCCATTGTTCTGCCACGGTGTTCTTGGCGCAAAGCCAGCATTTATACTTCGCCATGTGGCTTATTGCAATCAGGGGCAAATCATGACGTTAAGATGGAGCAAACTGCGGGTGCAAGTGAAGTGCAATTCAAGGTGCTATCAGCGGCCGCAGTTAATTCTTTGTGAATTCGGCCCTCAGTGTAGAAATGTCTTCTCTCTCTCCCCGCATTCCAAATAACCCAGTACGCAAACAAAAACAAAAGGTTAGGGTACGGCATAGTTATGCTAAATCACTGCCGTTGGAGGGGAAAGGGCAGCTCATAGCACGCACATTCCGGCAGCCGACATGAGCCGACAACATTCAATACGTGTAAACCAGAGGGGACCCTGCCTGTTAGCGTAGTGTGTGGCTGAATGTGCATTATCCCTTTTAATTACACAACAGATCTTACTGCTCAGCATCCCCTTTAATAATTGTTTTTATTCTCTTGCCCAAAATAGCAAAAACAACTGCACCGGGCTGCTTTATTTTTTTTATTTTGACTAGACTGTCCGCCGTCAAAACAGAGGGGTCTTTGTACTGTATGTGAAAACTTCGGCTACTTGTCAAATCCTGTAAAGTTGTGATTATAATCTCTTATTATTCAGTCTACAAGTAAAGTCTTAACGTAGGGCCTACTGTGTATTGACCAGATCTATACAGTTAGGCTACTGTACAAGATTCTATTCAAGACGTTGAAGAGACTTATTGACAGATGCCTTTCATGCAGTCGCCAGTGGCTGATTTTAGATCATAAGGCAAGTCGCCTGTTTCAACTGCCAATCAGCTCGTAGCAAAGTCAGCTAGTCACGAGGGGCGCAATGACAGTTTTGGACAGAGAGAAGAGAGAAAAGAAAGATAAAAAGAGGATCACCTCACCAATTTGTTTGAGGAATAGCTCCACGGTTCTGTGAGTGTGCAAAAGCATGCAGTAGGCTACCATCAATTTATTATTTTAACACCCTCAGTTCATTCATTCATCTTCTAACCGCTTCATCCTCTTGAGGGTCGCGGGGGGGCTGGAGCCTATCCCAGCTGACATTGGGCGAGAGGCAGGTACACCCTGGACAGGTCGCCAGACTATCGCAGGGCTGACACATAGAGACAAACAACCATTCACACTCACATTCACACCTACGGACAATTTAGAGTTATCAATTAACCTAGTCCCCAATCTGCATGTCTTTGGACTGTGGGAGGAAGCCGGAGTGCCCGGAGAGAACCCACGCTGACACGGGGAGAACATGCAAACTCTGCACAGAAGGGCTCCCACACCCAGGATCGAACCGGCAACCCTCTTGCTGTGAGGTGAGAGTGCTAACCACCACACCACCGTGCCGCCCCTCCCTCAGTTGAAATTAAAAAATTAAAAAGTTTTCAAAAAAAAAAAAAAAAAACAAAACACAAAAACCCACACCACTCCGCTGACTGACGTGTAGCGCCGGTACCCAGTGTATTTCGGCTGTCAGAGCTGTGCCAGTTAAACGTGATGACGACTCAACAAACGTTAAATGTTAGACATCAGTGCACAGGACACAAGGACACAAGGACAGGACTGCTGCTTCATTCATGGGTTTTTTACGTGCATCCTAGTGCCTGTGCCGTGCGTAACTCAACTGGGAAGGCGCAGCAGAGCCAGCGGGGTTTCTTCACAAGAACACAAATAATATAACATATTACACACAGTTTTACACACAGAATATCCTCTAAAACTCTCAATATCCTCGTGAACTGCCTTTTGCTGACAACAATCCCATGCAAAGCAGCAAGTGCAGAGTGAATGACTGAATGAATGAATGAAGATTCAAATTAATTAAAACGTGCGCACGATGTATATTTTTTCCTCTAACGGCCACTGCCGGGCTCTGTAATTATTACAAAAAGGTCAACAAAACAGGTTTCCAAATTCAAAATAACTTCATTAATCTTCAGTTTAATGAATCTTCTGTATTACACCTTTAAGGTTACTTTTCTTTCAGACATTTTTTGAAGATGTGGTCTCACTGATTAACTGAAAACAATTATACAGTAACGAAAAAAATAATATCCTAACGAAAATAGAAGTCTAATCAAGTAAACAGCTTTCAGACAGTGCATCAGCAAAAGCCCAGTTCTATACTGCTGCCTGCTGCTGACACACGCAGTGTGCAACTGAAATGTCTGCACTGCAGCACTGTAGCTGTGCCATATTCCACAATATCCAAACTTCTGAATGGCGGATCCTTTAGAAAAACGAGGAAGGGCTGACATTTCGAATAATAAAGGCAGGAATTTTCATAATGGTGGGAATTGTGATAAAAAGGTGAAGGACCGCCAGTCCGAATAATGCAAGTTAACATTCGAAGAGGCAAGGTTTCGGAAAGGCAGACAGTTACCCCTGAAAAGAGTCGTTGCTATAGAAACGATATGCTTCCACGTTTGATAAACTGAATGACTGCAGGCTGTTTTTTTGTGAGAGAGGCGCCATCTCATGGCGATACCCTGCAATTGAACGAGTGGGCTTGTTTATGATTAAAATAGGAGAGGGAGGGGGGGTAGAGCCAGCACGGCAGCTGGCTGGCAGCCAGCTGGAACTTGGCTGGGATTTGGCTGGGATTTGGCTGGGATTCGATAGGCAGCTGGCTGACAGCCAGCTGGGAAGGGAAACTTTTGAGTGGCTCCTACTGTAAGTCCTAACTGATGAATTTATTCACCTCAAGATATCTGAATGAAATTAGTTTCATTAAGTACCTACAAGTCCACTTCAAGCTAGTTCCAAACAGCTTTTAGCATGCAATATAAATGTGTTATTTTGTCTTATTGTTTTTTATACAGTGGCAAGAAAATGTATGTGAACCCTTTGGAATTTCCTAGTTTTCTGCATTAATTGGCCATAAAATGAGATCCAATCCACATCTAAGTCACAAGTATAGACAAAACACAATGTCCTTAACCTAATACCACACAAACAATTATAATATTTCATGTCTTTATTGAACATACCCATTAAATGTTCCCACTGCTGCTGGAAAATATGGGTTCACATACGTTTTCTACCACCGTATTTCTGCATACTGGGTCCCTAAAAAGTCTTGGAATTGCATAAGTTGTGTTACTGGAAAGCTGAGACTTTTATTCATGTGTAATGATGTTAGTAGTAGCAGTTTCATTGTAGTGAGAGCATTTTTGGAAACTGACATAACAATATAAAATGACCTACAGTGACCTCTAGGCACAGCCTTGTGGAACTATAAAATTGCAAATGAGAGACCTTGGGCATTCACAGGATGTATGGCTTTCATAAGTATATTGACAATAAGCAATTTCCGCTAACACTACAAAAACCCGCTAACATCTGGCTTTATAACGTAATGGAAAAGGTTACAATCGGCCCTCACACCCATGTCAAATGACTCTGCAGTAGTCACGGGTATTTATCAGCTCCAGCTCTAATCGGCATTGATGAAAACAAAAAATCTGGGTGAACATGTTAATTTGCACCCCCTTTACCAGTGAGATACAATGACGCACCACCACAAAATACCATCCGTCTCTGCCCAAGCAGCGCCCAAACACTGATCCAAATTAGTCTGCACCGAGTCTGAAAGAGAGACTAAATAAGTCAGAGATATATAAAAAGAAGTAACCAGTGTAACATTTTCACTAGCCTCCATGCTCCTCTACTATTAACTAACCTATTTTCCAGCCTGTCCATGATGTCGAATGTGACACACCAAAAACCCACAAACACAGAAAATCATACTCGTCTGCTGCAGAACCGTGTACACAGCTACTGGAAATGGGAAAGGAGTATGCAGACTCTTTTAGCAGGGTTACCCGTGTTAAAAAACCCTGCGTACATGCCATAATTTTGGTGGAAAACGGGCATGACATACAAAGGCATAACTGTTGAATTTGGTCTATGGTAGTGAGGGGTGGAGCAGAGGAGGCTTATCTATAATGGAAGACAAAGACATGCTTACAAACTTGTAAACGGTCTTCATGGCTGGGTTTGCTTTGGTCTTCACTGTGTTGAAGATAGCACCGCCCCCTTTCTGTTGGAAAAAATTGACACAGCATGTGTTAGTGACAGACAGATACCTGTGCCACACTCTCTGCATTTATTAAAGACCGATACCCGTTCCGCAATCTGTCATCTTGACAGGTGTATTATGAAGGTTTGCTCACACATGGAAAATGGACAAACTGTATAAGAGCAAGACTAAAGGAGTAAAGCCTGCTAGCAGCACAAAGAGGCTGCTTTGTCTATTACAGAAGCAAAACACTTTCTCACTTTCTCTCTAAAGTGAGAAAGTG